TGTTTTGCAAATGAATTTTTATTAATTTAGGTAGCTTGAATATTTAATTAAGCCTGTCATTAATACCTCATAGAAATGCAAATCTGTATCTTTTCCCAGGAGTTCTTTTAAACAAGGATGAAAGCCCTCTTCAGAGGCGTATCCTCATAGGGCTAGAATTAAGAAATTAAGCTTTCCGAAGAAGAAAGAGGATGTTAGAGAATCTTTCTTTTGTTAATTTCACCGTGCAAGTTGTTCTCGAAGTACATGCAAAAGCCTTTACACTTATCCCACATTTTAGGAATGACTTTGCATAAGTAAAATGAGATATCCCTCATGGCCACCTTACTCTGCCCTGCATCTCCGCAGGGGACTAGGCCTTACAGGATATTTGGGCCACTACCTGTCCAGTGGTGGGGAAGATCGAAACCACATGGAGGAAATGTGGAAATATGAGCTCATGCAGGTGTGTAAGGAGGGGACCTCTCATCCATTTCTTGTTCACCTGCCTGTCACTCATGTTTTTCCTTTTTAGTAACTTTAACAGGCTTGCCAAAGTCCCTTCTGTTGCCTCCGGAGAAAGGCTACCTACCTCCCCTTAGCAGTGAGGGTCTCTGTAATGTGGTTTCTGTCTGACCTCTAGGTCCTTATCTTCCACTTTTCCTTTCAGCTTTGGTCTAATTCACCCTCTCACTAACCCCATAGGGACCCCATACACTCTTGCCTCAGTGCCTTTGGTTGTGCTGTTCCCTCTTCCTTAATGCCTGGATCCTTCAATATCCAGTTCAAAAGCTGATATCTTCACAACCTTCCCTGACCCCTCCCCCTCTTCCATCCTCTAAAATATCATAGCGCTATATATGGACCTCCTTTATGCCACCAACCATGTTCTACCTTTAATACTAAAATTAATACTAACAATAAACAGGGCTTCCCTGGTGGCGCAGTGGTTGAGAGTCCACCTGCCGATGCAGGGGACACGGGTTCGTGCCCCGGTCCGGGAAGATTCCACATGCCGCGGAGCAGCTGGGCCCGTGAGCCATGGCCGCTGAGCCTGCGTGTCCGGAGCCTGTGCTCCGCAACGGGAGAGGCCACAACAGCGAGAGGCCCGTGTACCGCAAAAAAAAAATAAAATAAAATAAACAACAACAGCTAGCCATCATTCAACACTTCAGTGTGTCAGGCACTGTTACAGTCAATGAAAAGTAGTAGATTATTTATTTATTTATTTTCTTTCAAGTATTTGTTTTTGGGGTTTTTTTTTGTTTTTTAACAGCTTTATTGGAGTATAATTGCTTTACAATGGTGTGTCAGTTTCTGCTTTATAACAAAGTGAATCAGTTATACATATACCTATGTTCCCATATCTCTTTCCTCTTGCGTCTCCCTCCCTCCCACCCTCCCTATCCCACCCCCCTGGGTGGTCACAAAGCACCGAGCTGATCTCCCTGGGCTATGCGGCTGCTTCCCACTAGCTATCTATTTTACGTTTGGTAGTGTATATATGTCCATGCCACTCTCTCACTTTGTCACAGCTTAGCCTTCCCCCTCCCCATATCCTCAAGTCCATTCTCTAGTAGGTCTGTGTCTTTATTCCTGTCTTGCCCCTAGGTTCTTCATGACCATTTTTTTTTTTTTAGTTTCCATATATATGTGTTAGCATATGGTATTTGTTTTTCTCTTTCTGACTTACTTCACTCCGTATGACAGACTCTAGGTCCATCCACCTCACTACAAATAACTCAATTTTGTTTCCTTTTATGGCTGAGTAATATTCCATTGTATATATGTGCCACATCTTCTCTATCCATTCATCTGTCGATGGACACTTAGGTTGCTTCCACGTCCTGCCTATTGTAAATAGAGCTGCAGTGAACATTTCGGTACATGACTCTTTTTGAATTATGGTTTTCTCAAAGTAGTAGATTATTTAATAATCAAAAGAACCTTACTGGGGACTTATTTTGCTTCCGGCCATAACGGAATTGAAGCATCAAATTATCCCCTCACCTAAAACAAAACAAAACAAAACAAAAACAATGAACAAAATGTATGAAATAATGTGTTTTTTAAAACACTGGACAACAGTCAAAAGTGATCCCTGAGAAACAGGGGGCAAATGAGTTGAGCCCTGTGACTGTCCTGGGTACGGCCCTGAAAGAGCTTCCAGGCCATGGCGCAGAGGAAGGAAACCAGGCAGAACCTGGTGGACTCCTCGAGTGAAGAAGACAAAGCTAGGAATTCAGAGAAGCTAAGTCATGTGCATGACTAAATAAACATAACACCCGGCTGAGTAAACATCATTAGTGCTTAAATTTAAGATAGAAAAATTGATTTCTATGCCCGGAAAGACATTGCCACCCACCCCATCATCTAGATAATTAAAGTGCAAAAATATCAAACAAATTTAGAGTACTGGCTCTGGAGCCTGTGCCTTTCACCATGGTGCCTACTTCCCTCCTCAATTCTGAGCTCTTTCAGGATTAGATACGTGTCTAGTGACGCACCCGTCCCCATTCCCTGGGTGTGTCACACATTCCTTTATATTATACATATTTGGTGCTCATTAAATTTTTTTTGATGAATGAACAAAGACGTAGATATATTTTCTGTTTGTGAACTTACTGTGAAAAAAATAACGGTGGGCAAAAAAGAGTTTGCTGGAAGACTATTAGGATCTGTAAAGCACTTCAGAGACTCAGTTTCCAAGTGTCCCCATGAGGAAGTAATCAGACAGCGCTCTTGGGGCCCCATTCTCACAGGGCATCGCCCAGTCTTGCAAGGACATTGGACCACCTCTACGAGCTGTGCAGGCTCCTCCACACAAGCTGAGTATAGCTGCTGGCCCTCGAGGAAAGCCCACCTGGAAGGCGCAGCCCAGTGATCTGTAATTACCATGGAAACAGATCACTGGACTGTCACAAGTGGCTGTCACCTGGTGCTCCAAACTAGGGAAAGACTGGGGTCTGGTAGCATCCTTTTGATAACAAGACTTCATGTTTCCTTTCAAGCAGGGAAATGAAGTGTCTTCTTCCAGAGAAGCTGTTTTCATGCCGTAGTTCTGTGTGTTATTGCCTCTGATCCCTGTTGCTAGTGGGCTGCAAATATGCAGGTCCCCACAGCGTGTCTTTGAAGAGCTAGTTTCACTTGTTGTCCTTCCTTCTCCATGGCCTGTGGTAAGCACCACCTCTCCAAGAAGCCTTTGCAGGTCCCCCAGCAGAGTTTTCTTTTCCAGCCAATAATACCCAAAGTGGGCTCTTTGCTTCTTTGGGGCACTTTTTCCTCCTTCCTGCAGCAGAGTTTTTCCTGAAGGACAGGTCACACAGGTGAAATCTGATCTCTTTAACCTGGGATTTGCCTTCCTCTGAAGGACACACAATGGGCACAGGAAAATTGCACAGCCCTGGGAGAACCCGGGCCACCATCTTCTGCCAGCCTCTGTGCCGTGTAAATATTTTCCCTTGGGCCAGCTACTTTATAGCCTCTGAATATAAACATACAAATCTTAAAAATAGGTTACGTAGAAGCAAACAAAATTCCATTTTTTTTATTGTGGTAAAATACACATAACATGAAATGTACCGCCTTAACCATTTTTTCAGGATCCAGTTCAGTGGCATTAAGTATATTCATGTTGTATGCAGCTGTCACCACCATCCATCTCCAGAACTTTTAATCTTCCCAAACTGACACTCTGTCCCCATGAAGCACTAACTCCCACCCCCTCCTCTCCCCAGCCCTTGGCAACCACCATCCTACTTTCTGACTCTGTGAATTTGACTACTCTAGGAAACTGATATAAGTGGAATCATACGGGATTTGTCCTTTCGTGACTGGTTGATTTCTCTCGGCATAATGTCACCCATGTTGTAGCATGTGCTCGAATTTCCTTCCTTTTTAAGGCTGCATAATATTCCACTGTATAGATAGACCCCATTTTGTTTATCTGTACATCTGTTGAGGGGGTCCTTGGGTTGCTTTGACTTTGGCTATTGTCAATATATTCCACAAACCTTTAAAGATGAAATGAAAGGCTTCATCGAGATACGATGCTTGTGTAGGCTACTTTTGGGGTTGTACTTTAGCTTCCTGTGCAGGGGAGAGGCATGCACTTACAGGGACCTGCCTTTAGGGGCTCGGGTGGTGAAATCAGAGAAGCAGTAGACTATGTTGTTCCCTGTAACAAGTTTCCTAGAGAAAGTGTAAGAGGTAGTGATAGCAGAGAAAAAAATGTAGAGAAGCTGGAATGAACTACTTAGTTGAGTGAATGAGTATAATGAATGGATTCTCTCATCTAGAGGCTGCTGGGCCCCTCGGGTGTTGGGCCCTCCCCTGGAAGAGCTCTGTCCTGGTGGGGTAAACAGTGTGGTACCAGCTGGGGAGAGGAGCTTGAGAGACAAAAGAAACACAAGGAGGGCGACAGATGTGCAGAGTGAGGATGCTTCAGAGTGGCTCCTTGGAAACCAGAGACGCAAAGGCCAAGTAGGAGATTTTCAGGAGGACAAAGATGAGGGATGTTTGAATCATAGCGAAGAGCTCGGATGATAGACACAAAGAGCATGGTGTGCAAGGCCCTGAACTGTCAGGAGTAATGGAAGTCCCACGTATGTGGGTGGGGGTGGCAGAACAGACCAGACCTTTCCAGCTGGGATCGGGGAGCGGAGGGCCTTAGGGGCTGTGTTAGGAAGACTGAATTTTCATCCTTTAAGATGGGAGGCTTGAAGGAATTTGCCCTGGAGAGCAACACAGTTCGATTTACCCCCGAGAGTGATAAATGTGGAATGAACAGCTGGACTCTGAAAGCCCCGCAGCATCTTTATAAGCAGAGAGGCCCTTGCTGTCTTACACTGCGCACCGAGATTCCAACGCTGCTGCCTTGAGACCTAATTCAGAATCCCGAATGGATGACCGGCTGCCTGCCTGCACGAATATAAATACGCCGTGCTTTTGTAAGCCGCGTGCTCTGTCCTCCGCCGTCCCTCCACTTACCGTTCTCTGGTTCTCTGGCCGGCCCCTCCCAGGTCCGAGGAGAGTTGCTTCGCGAGAGGATACAGCAGCTGGAGGCCCAGGAGGGACGCTTTGCCGAGTCCCTCGTCTCCCTGCAGTTCCAGAAGGCGGCCAGGATGGCCAAGACCCTGTGGGCGTACACTGCCCTCCTGACCATCCAGGACCTGCTCCTGGAGGAGCTGAGCGCGTCAGAGACCCTGACCAAGGCAGCCTGCACGCAGATCCTGGAGTCGCACAGCCCGGTGAGTGACAGACCTGGGAAGGAAGGCGCGGGGGGCCGCACCACATACCTTGGTGTTTCGTTCTGGTGGCCACCTCCACTTCTCCCACCATTAGGTGGGTGGTCCACTGCCCTGTGCCCACTGCAGCATCCTGGAGAGGGTTGAGTGAGGAGACTTCCACAGGAGCATGGTGCACCCTTGCAGCCCAAGGCTGCTCTATTTCATTGCCTCCAAGGAAGCAAACCTTTTGAATTTTAACATTTTTAAAATCTGGGAAACTGGGATGCCTCTTGCAGCCAACAGCGGTATTGTATCTTTCATACTACTAAGAAAAATAGCTGTGTCGCTTTCAATGAATGGCGCCTTAGATGCTGTGAAATAACGGATTATTTTTTATTTTCAAAATTCTAATTATTCCTACATGCTGCATTTTTTACAAGGCGTGGGAGGTATACTCGTAAAACAAAAGCTACCGACGTAATGGTTTTGAGGACTAATTTTAGTCCCTGTATGTATAATTTTAGAATTTCATGTATTATTGTAACAGTTACAGTGAGGAAAGGGAACTCACATTTATCGAGTGTCACGTGTGTGGCAGGCAAGCACTAATGAGCTGTGAAATGGGTGTACTCTCATTTAAGCATTAACAATTCATTACTTAATTGTGCGTCTTAAGATGATCATTTAAGCATGATTATTAATAAGTTGCGATTTTATGCTGCTTTGCAGTTACACGCTTTGTCAGGCATTATGCCAGTTAATCATCGAGCCATGCCATGAAGTCGGTACCTTTTCTGTGCTCAATTCTCAAGTAAAGAAATGAGATTCAGGCAGGTGGCAGGTCAAGTTCTTTCCAAGGTCCACAGAGCTACTGGGTGACAGGAGCCAGAAATGTATCCCTTTCTCACTTCAGACCCCTGGGTCATGTTCATGGACTAGTTGATCTTGCTAATGGGGGTTCCCGTCATTTCTTTACAGAAGTCATAAATAACATGAGACCCTGAAGAGTCCAAGCTATTTTTCCAGCAAACATGGTGCACCCTGCACTGTGACGCCTGTTTGTAGGGATAGGAAAGAAGGGGAAGCTTTGCTGATATCCCAGCACAAAACATCCAAACGCTGGGTAAATAAAAATAAACATACTTTTTAATGCTTTGTGACTTTGCAAGAGAATGAGGAAAATCCCCAAGGGCTAAGGATAGCCTGGAGAAGCTGAACTCATAGAGGGAGATAGAAGCAATTCCAGAGGCTGAAATCTAGGGGCAAAGGGTGAAACCCAGAACGCCCAGGGATAGGGGATTAATTTGAAGGACTAGGAGATGGGGCTGTGGGATGTCCTGAGGAGACAGAATGCCCAGTGAGGCGGGAGGAGAAAGCCACCTGTGGTCAAAGCAGCCACCAGGGTAACCTGTCCATCTTCAGCCCTGCTGGTGGCAGGGGGTGAGGGGGTCGGGGTGTGAGCCTCCTCTGAATTTGTCACCAAAGGCTTCTTCTAATGTGACGAAGGAATCCAAAAATACTTTAGCCATTCAGTCAGGAAATCTCCAAGGTGATAAATTAAATTTAAATAGGTCCAGGTGGGATGCCTGCCCTGGTGCATGGCTGAAGCTAAGGCAGATCCTGTCCAGAGGAAAATATTCTCAATCCGGGCACCTCAGGATTTCTATGAGTTCTCCATTAAAATTTAAAGACTCACTGAACACATAAAGATGCAAGACAAGAGGACCTGTGGGTAGGAGAAACAAAACACCAGCAGATTAAAATCCCCAAGGACTGTAGATGTCTGAATTATCAGTATAGAGTATAAAAGAATGATTTATGAAATTATTTAAAAAGTTAAAGATAATTCCAAAATGATTTCAAAGTTTCATTCGCCCAGAGAGCAGAGAGATTCTCAACTTGCACGTATGTGGTAAAAGACACAAAACAACAAAAAGAAAAATCGACCAAACAGGGAGAAATTGAGAGATCTCTCATCATGGTGGGAACTTACAGCACACCTCCTTCTGTGGTTGAACATTGATCAGATGAAACACCAGTGAAGATACAGATGGACTGAATCACACATTTAACAACCTGTATTTAATGCACACATGCAAAATCTCACAGCTAACGGTTAACGAACATACGTTTTTCTTCAGCACATATTAGGACAGTTAAAAAGTAATTGACCACGCATTACCCTGTTGACCACCTTTTTGAAAAAGGACAATTAAGTTTAAATCCGTTTTTTTAAGAGATTAAAACTTCCATACTTTGGAAGTATTAAACATACTTCTTAATAATTCATGGATCAAAGAAATCAAATTTTCAAAGAAATGGAAATTTTCAAATCAAAAGAATGGAAATTTTCAAATCAAAGAAATGGAAATTTTAAAATTCAAAGAACAGAAAAATAATGTAGATACGATGTTTCTAACTGCTTTTTTTTCTCTCTAAAAAAGCAGTTGTTAGAGAGAAATTTATGCCCTTAACTTATATTGAAAAAGAAGAAAGGCTCACAATTGAAATCATGTAAAAAGTTAGTGGGGGGCTTCCCTGGTGGCGCAGTCGTTGAGAGTCCGCCTGCCGATGCAGGGGACACGGGTTCGTGCCCTGGTCCGGGAAGATCCCACATGCCGCAGAGCGGCTGGGCCTGTGAGCCATGGCCGCTGAGCCTGCGCGTCCAGAGCCTGTGCTCCACGGCAGGAGAGGCCAGAACAGTGAGAGGCCCATGTACCGCAAAAAAAAACCCAAAAAACAAAACAAAACAAAAAGTTAGGGGGATAACAACCACAAATGAACCTGTAGAAAGTAGAGGGAAGGAAGAGAGAATAAATAAAATTAAAAACAAAACTACAGTAGAGAGAATCGATAAAGTGAAATGTTGAATTTTTTGAGAAAAGTCTAATAAATATACAAATGTCCAGAAAGACTGACCATTTAAAAAAGAGATAAGGGACAAGTAATATCAGAAGTATAAAAATCAACATAACAATAGATGTCCGAGAGTTTTAAAAAATAAGAGAATTCTGTGAACAATAATTTTATGTAGATGACTTTAGACATTGCAATGAAAGAAAATTTTCTAAAAAATTATAGATCACCAAGATTGGTTCAACGAGAAAAAAAATCTGTATAATTCTATTACCACGAAAGAAATTGATTCAGTCGTTTTGAAATCTTCTGACACACGTGCAAAGATATCTTACCTTGATAGTTTTACAGGTGAGCTCCACCAAACCTTAAGGTAGCAAGTTTTTCCAATCTCATATAAGGATTATTTCTGATATTAAAAAAAATAGGGAATATTCCTCATTTCATGAAGCTCAGATAACCTTGACACCAAAAGCAGACATGAATAGTACAAGAAAGAACAGTTACAGTTGTCTTACTTTGAGCATAGATGTACAATTCATAAACAAAATATTGACCTAATCCAACCGTCTGTAAAAAGGATTTAATACAGCATGACCGGACTGAGTTTTTCTCAGGAATGTAAGGTTGGTTTAACATTAAAACATTCATGTACAAAATTCATTAGATTAACAGATTAAAGAAATGACTCCTATGATCATTTCAGTATATACAGAACAAGTATTTTATTGAATTCAGCACCCATTCAACTTAAGACTCCTTAGCAAATTAATAATAGGAGGAAATACCTGCAGGATGTTTACCCAAAACCCACAGTAAGTATCGCTGCCGGGTGATTGGCATGGAGGTGGACATTGCCAGGAATTATAGATGAAGCAGGTGAGGCCTTCAGAGGAAGGGCAGGTCCAAGGTCATGTATCAAACAAATGAGGAACAAAATAAGACACTAGGAACCTCTGGCTTTCAGTTCCCAGTTCATCTCTTCATCATAAATGCTCTGAGAAGCACCTCAGTTAAGCCCTAAGACACCGAATGGCCCTTTCCACTTGCAACGACCCTTATTCCCATTAGTAATTGGGCAGCACAACACTTACATTTTCAATTTTATCTTAAAGCCCTTTTGAGTAACATCAAAGCTTTCTTATTCTCAAGCGTGTTTAGAATAGAGAGTTAATGTGTCCTGAATTGGAAGCAACTGATGATAAATCAGAGGATGCTGCATTATTAAATTCCTGGTACAGCGATGGATACGATGCCGGGTTTTTTTGCAGCGAAGATTTGCATTTGGAGGGAAGACAAACCTGTCATTTTGCTCCTGGTATTAGACTTTCATTCTGCAATCTGATCATTCTGGGAAAACCACTTTCCCATTGGGAACGGGCTTTTAAGCTGTTTCACATTCAGGAGAATTTTAAAAAGCATGAAATGAAATGCTTTGGAAGCAATGACTCCTAAGAAAACTATATCAAGTTCCCCTCACTTGATGAAAGATTTAGACTCATTTTGTGAAATTGGGACATAGGCAAAGGCATAACTGAATCATGGGCAAATTTAAATGGGATGGACTTACTCATACAGATAATGTGACCCCAGACTAACTGTACCCACTGTATTTGCATTTCAATTTCAGTGGCTGCATATCCACTTTTCCAAGCCTGACTGGACATCTTTCTCTTCTCCCCTCTGCCTTACTGCCCACTTGCTGCCAGTCACCCAGTCTGTCGATCCTGCTGGAATTTTCTCACTTCTGACCTTTGCCACCCAGCTTCACTCTTCAGACAAATCTGAAAACCAAAAATCACGCCAAGAGTAGCTTGCACTCATTGAGCTCTCGTTAAGCCCAAGGCATCGTGTTAAGTGTGTAAACTTTCTGTCAACCCCAGGATGATTTTATTCCCATTCTACAGATGGAGTTGAGGCTTAGGACGGTTAATGCATTTCAGCAGGGTCCCACAGCTGGAAAGCAGAGCCCACACCTCCTGCCTGCAAAGCCTGGCTCCTGTCCTGACATTGATTTCCACCCGCCTTCCTCTTTCCCTCTGCAGTCTCCTCCACACTGCAGCCAGAGGAGCCTTTCTGAAAAATAAAAATGTTCAGTGACAGCCCCATTCCCAGCTCCATATTTTAATATTTATCCTCTACCCCTCCCTCCCTCGGACTCTGAGTTTTAGCCCCTGGACCTTCTTGCAGCTTCCTGAACACTTGAGACACATTCAGGCCTTCATTCCTTGGAAGGACCTCTGCCTAGAATGCTTCTGCTGCCCACGTGCAAACTCCTCTCCATATTCTTAGACAAGCCGAATGTTGCCTCCTCTGTGAAGCCATCCATGATTCCCTTGGACAGAGTTGGTTTCTCCCAGCTCTGTACTCAAATAACTCTCCACCGCGATTCCCAGAGACGGGCTGTTACCTGTCACTGTTACTGTGTTTGAACAACTGTCTCCCACGCTAAACCGTGAGTTTCCAGAGTCTAGGGGCCATGTCTCATTCACCCCAGCATCCCTTGTGCCCAATAAAAGGCCTGGAACTGTCTCTCTATCTGCCTGTCTGTCTGTCTTCATCATCATCATCATCATTTGTCCATCTGTCCAACCATCCATTCATTCAAAAGATGCCTACATAATGCTTTCCAGAGACAATAGAAGCGAGAGATGGGGCCCAGAGTCAGAGAAATTAAAATCACTCCTCTCTTGGGTTCTTGGGACTTCAGGAGATTTCCTTACGCTGTCTGCGCCTGAGCTACCTTATCGATAAAATGGGACTACCTTGTGCTGTTTTGTGAAGATTAAATAAATTAATTCATGTAAAGATAGCGTGAATCAAATCTAGCGCAAGGTGGGCATTCGGTATGTGCTAATTGCTGTTACTATTACTATTAGTAAGATGTTGCTGATTACTGTGACTCGTCCACAAGCCAGGTGCCTGCTTCCTGCTGGGGAGAAGGATGAACGAGACAGTCCCAGAGCCCCTACCTGAGCATCTAAACTCTAGTGAAGAGAGCAGGCATTAAGGATGACAGTTCTAGAACCGAATCTTGGATTCCAGTTGTGCTAAGTGGCAGGGGTTTGGAGGAGAACTGACCTCTGGCAGAACCTCCCATCAGCATCTTAGAACCTGCAGGATACCAGGTTCCCACCTTGTTTCCTGTTCCTAACCAGGGCTAACCCGGTCTCGGAAAACCAAAGTGTGACTCGCCAGCTCTCTGTGCTCTGCCTGTTTTGGGGACACTGACAGGCGTGGGTCTGTCCTTTCCTTCCCCACACTGTGGGCTGGGGGCTAGCACCTCAGTGGAAGCCTGGTCCGTGACCAGGCTCCGGGCATGCTGACAGAACACGCTGAGGGAAACTCATTAGTGCTGTTGGAAATGCTGTGTTTGGTTATGTTTCCAATTTGGGACGCAGCAACGAGAAGGATGGTCATAATTGGAAATCTCAGTGTGATGGTAGCCCACGCTCAGAGCATTCCAAAGCTTCCACGGCCCTGACGGCACAACCCGGCACTCTCCACACTACGACTTCAGTTTACCTCTCTGGCCATTTTCTCTTCTGCCTTGGTTTCTGAGCCTTTGGGGGACTTTGAGACCCTTCTGAGCATTTGATGCAAGCTTTGGCCCCCCTGCAGATAGGCAGGCAGATGGTTTTGCACAAAATTTAGGAGGACCAAGGGCCACCATCTCCTGATGACACCTAACCAAGGCCTCTTACGATTAAGCCCCATCCTCACTCCACCCCACATAGAACACTGGCCAGTTGGTGAATAATAGGTTCGGTGTGTGTGCATTTTACAAGGCTTGGGACCTTCCTGCCTGCCCTCTCTTACCCATCTAAGCAGGCTGTGGACAGTCTCTTGTACCCAGATTCTCTGACTCTGGTGGCCTCAGAATGCAGATTTCTTCTGTCTGGCCAGTGAGAGACAGTATAGCCTGGGGGTTAAGGACACAAACCCTGGAGCCGGCTGGCCTGGCCCCGTATTCTGGTTCTGCCACTTAAGAATTGCATGGCCTGGAAAACTACTTTGTCTCCCTGCCTCAGTTGCATCATTTGTAACAGGGAAAATAAGTATATATTCCTTACAGTTGTTATAAGGATTCAATGAGATGAATAAACACAGAGCACTTAGAGTGGGTCAGGCTTGACCTGCGTACTGTCAGTGTTAGGTGTTATCCATGGTTGCTGGTCCAGCACAGCTTTCGCCACGTAGGTTACGTGCTGATAACCCACGTGTTTTAACTTTTTTTTTTTTTTTTGCGGTACGCGGGCCTCTCACTGCTGTGGCCTCTCCCGTTGCGGAGCACACGCTCTGGACGCGCAGGTGCAGCGGCCATGGCCCACCCGGACTGGGGCACGAACCCGCGTCCCCCGCATCGGCAGGCGGACTCCCAACCACTGCGCCACCAGGGAAGCCCAACCCATGTGTTTTAGAAACAGGTGGGAGCTGCCAGGGAGCTGCTATGTGCTTCAGGTTGGGGGATGGAAATGCAGCCCTGCCCCCCAGGAGCTCACACTCTAGCAGAAAGTGGAGTATCGTCCTAATCTGCTCATGCTGCTGTATCCAAATACCATAGACTGCAGGGCTTAAATAACAAACATTTATTTTCTCACAGTTTTGGAGACTGGGAAGTCTAAGATCAAAGTGCCGGCTGATTCTCTTTCTGTTGAGAAGAATCCTTCCTGGCTTGCAGACGGCTGCCTTCTCACTGTGTCCTCACATGGCAGAGAGAGGGAGCTCTGGTCTCTTCCTCGTTCTATAAGGGGACTAATCCCATCTTGGGGGCCCCATCCTTGTAACTTTATCTAAACCTAATTACCCCCAAAGGCCACACCTCCAAGCCCCATCCCACTGGGGATTAGGGATTCAGCATGTGGATTTTGAGGGACCACAAATATTCATTCAGTCTGTGATGGGAAAATACGAGGGATGGTGAGTGGACAGTTGAGGAGGGGGAGTCTGCATCTCCCAGGGGACTTAGGGAGCCGTTAGTAAGTGCCTGACAATTAGCTTTTTTGATTGTAATATAAGTGCCTGACATTCAGCTTCTGATTGTCGAGGCATCCGTTTCAAAGACATCATCTGAAAATAAACAGGTTGCCAACTAAACAACTAGATAAAAGTCAGGCTCCCCCACCCATGAATTTCCCTTTTTTGGAAAGCTCTGGTTGACCTACATACCTGACCTCTTGAGTGACCCTGCTTTGCCCTCCCTGCGCCTCGATTCCTGCTCTTATGATTTAAGTTCACCAGCAAAGAGTGAACCAGTGAAACAATAGGCACCCCACCCTTGACCATCCAAGGGCCATGCTGTCTCTCTCTTTGCGACCCTGCTGTGTGGCCTGGGTGTGCCGTGTACCCTCCAGGGCCTGTGAGGAATAAACCTTGTTTTTTCAAGGTCCTTGATGGTTGTGAGGTTGAGTCGTGCAATCATAAGAACCACAAGGGCTGGTTCAGCCTTGACATCAGCCCATCAGGAAAATGCCTGTGGGCACTGCCCCAGGGAGTGTGGACCCCCAGGCATCTCCAGCTAGTACCATCACAGTCCACAGGCTGAGACCAACACAGAACAGAGCCCTTTCCTGAGGAGGTTCTTCTAAAGCCAGCCCTCGAAAGAAGACTCAGAGTTGGCCAGGCAAACGGGGAAAGGCCCTGCAGGTGGGTGTACAGTGTGTGCAAAGGCACGGAGGTGTGAGAGACCCTGATGCAGTCTCGTCATGCTGTTTGGCACGGCCAGATCCGGGAGACAGCGAAAGGAGGTGGTGCTAGGCTTGCAGCGCCGTGCCAAGCGGGGCGGATTTTATCCTGCGGTCCACCTGCCTTGGGCTCATCACCTGCCCCTCTGTGTGCAGGAGCTCCAGGAGCTGGAGAGGAAGCTGGAGGACCAGCTGGCACACCAAGAGGCGGCCCAGCTGCAGCGGGCCCTGGAGAGTCGGCAGCAGTGGGCAGGTGAGGGGCCTGGGCTTCTGCACGAGCCGGAGGAGGAGACAGATTCTGAAAGGCAGGTTTCGGCTGTCCTGCGACGGGCCCTGAGCAAGGGTCAGAAGTTACTGGAGCGTCACCAGCAGAGGTGAGCCAAGGGCCCAAGGGCAGTGTGCAGGCTCAGTCCCCGCAGGCCAGGGGGGCACCTGGCCTCTCAGACTCAGCGGGATAAGGCCCACCTGGGCTGTCGTGCTGCCGTCTGAGAGGTCCTCCCAGCACTCAGGCACGAGCTGCTAACTTTGTAACAGGCTTCTTCCCTGACATCTTTTTATACTTCATTTTTTGAGTCTTTTAATATTTAATTTCTGTTGAATATTTAACATTGAGGTTTTACTGAAGGTAATATTTTTCAGCTTTTTATTTTGAAATAATTATAGACTCACAAGAAGTTGAAAAAAATAGTGCAGAGGTTCCATGGCCCATCACCCAGCTTCCCCCAATGGCAACATCTCACAGGATAACAACACATTATCCAGACCAGGAATTGACATTTGCACGATGCAGTGAATACAGGCCTTACTCAGGCCTCACCATAAACATAATATTTATATCCTGCTTTTGTAAAATTATAAAACAGACAGAACCCCCTGATCTTCTTTTTTGTTGTTGTTTTTTGCATTCTTTTTCAATTAATTAGACAATTAGCCTTTGCCCATGGCATTAAGAACTGTTGAAAAAAATACTTTTTCCCTTACAGAGTCTAGGTATTTTATTTTATTTTTGAGTTACAATTAACATACAAGATTATATTAGTTTCAGGTGTACAACATAGTGATTCAATATTTTTATACATTATGAAATGATCACTGCAGTAAAACCAGTTACCATCCATCACCATACAAAGTTGTTACAGTATTACTGACTATATTCCCTATGTGTATATTACATCCCCATAACTTATTTATTTTATAGTTGGAAGTTTGTATCTCTTAATCCCCTTCACCTATTTTGACTTTCCTCCCACCCCCTTCCCCTCAACCCAACCCAGCAACCACCAGTTTGTTCTCTGTATCCATGAGTCTGTTTCTGTCTTGTTTGTTCGTTTGTTTTGTTTTTTACATTCCATATATATAAGTGAAACCATACGGTATTTGTTTGTCTCTGTCTGACTTATTTCACCTAGCATAATACCCTCCAGGTCTATCCATGTTGCTCCAAACGCAAGATTTCATCCATTTTTTACAGCTGAATAATATTCCATTGTGTATATATACCACATCTTCTTTGTCCATTCATCTATGGATGGACACTTAGGTTGCTTCCATATCTTAGCTATTGTAAATAGTGTTGCAGTGAACATAGAGGTACATACATCTTCTGGAAAACATAATTTTTAACAGCTTCATAATTTTCCATTGTGAATATAATGTTGACATGTGAAGGACAGGGTAAAAACTATATATACAGCATGATTTCATTTTTGAAAACATACACACAAATTAACTGAAGCAAATAGGCCAAATTGTAATAGATATGATTTCTATGTGGTGAAATTACAGGTTATTTTAATGTATTTGATTACGCTTTTCTGTGTAAACACAACATCAAAGTGCAGTTCTGTTTTCCATTGAAATAATTGCATAAAAGACTGAATCTGTTTGATCAGAGGAAAATGCTCAGAGATGTTGACTTTATTTAGACTTGATTTAGGATTTTAGTAACGTATTCCATGCTTCATGGTGGAAAATGCTGATGATCGAGCTTTTGGTATGAAGTGTACCTGCAGATTGGGTTTGGATTGTATTAACCAGCAGGAATGCAGGATGGATAACCCAAGATGCCAACTTTGATTGGCTGAGGGATAGGCTGGGCGGACCTCCTTGTGGGGAAGTCAAGACGCCTGATAGAGACCTCGTGTGATAAGGTGCCACCCAGCCTCTGTGGTCAGAGTCAGGTCCATCCTTGGGAGATGGTTCTGGGCCCGCTTCAACACAAGGTCACATGGTAATTGAAGACTCCAGATCTTGGTGTTCTTGAGCACGAGCATGACAACTAATACTGAGAGTTTTCAACTTAGGATCACGGTTGGAGGTCAGAGGGAACGAAAAGTGCCCACCGAACTGAGCAGGCATCTGGAGACCGAAAAACAAGGCAGGCAGCTCCACATAACCAATGGATCTGTTTATCTAGGGTAACATACTCACAAGGTGGGGTCAAGCAGACAATAATCCAGAAGGCTTCACAGCTGCATTCCGCACCACCAAGGGGCCATTGGGACAATTTGATAGTTAACCTAAGGTATGGGGATAGGTGCTTGGAACTAGGACGTGCATTCCCAAATCAAGATTTATGAATGGATAACTAGTCTCGTGGGTGCCAGGAACGCTTCAGGGAAGGTTTTCATCCTTGTCTGGGGACGAACAAAGCATAGAGGCTACCTGGTCCTAATGATTATTAAACAATATCTATTAACTACAAAGCCCTTGATGACAGAGAAGTGATTCACTGCACAGTCCTAGGTGGGTCAGCAGAAGGACAGGAGAGACTGTAAGGGCCCAAGATGGCATCAGTTACGCTAATAGCCATGCAGATCACAGATTGCCCTGCAAAGCCACAGAAAAGTCTCCATGTGGCTCCCACAAAACTTCTTGCTTCGAGGAGCTCTCCCTCCTGGTGAGCCCTCCCTGATAACATTATTTGCAAGGTAATCTAGCTAAAAACCAGCAAACTTCTTCTGAGCACCTCTTTGGATGGATTTTTTTTTTTAAATCATGTTGATTAGATCTGTGATCCCTTGTTGTTTAAATAACTAGGATTTAAATAACTAGCTTTGTAACAAAACTGGACTCATACAGATTTTGTTTTCACTCTAGTTTGAGAGAGGAGCAAGAGAACAGTGTCATGCTTGAAGATTTGCTGGAGAATATGGAGACGGACACCTTTGTGACCCTGTACAGCCAGGTGAGAACAAGTTTGCCATGTCCTGGGTCCATCCCTTGCCAGCTCGTCACTTCACCCTTTTCTCAGTGTCCACGATTCCTCACCCTCAGGATGGGGATGATAACACGAACCTTGGGAGCTGCCAAGCAGATCTGTGAAAACCCCTGGCCCAGGGCCAGCACGTAGAGGACATTTGATCGGGGGTCACGGCAGCAGCAATGACAATAGTAATCATTGCCCTGGTCAGTTTCTGTAATTAGACAGGCACCCAAACCTTCTTCTTCTCAGTCTTAAGTAAGTTTAATATATACATTTAATATATCCATTTTTCAAATAGAGGAACCATGCCCAGATTGGTGGCGTGAGGGCTCCAGGGCTCACTGCCATTCCTTGGAGCTCAGGATTCAGCCTGGGCTAGGTGACTACACAGGGTGTGCTCTTTCTGCTCAGTTTCCCTGCAGAGCACATGATGCCCCTGGCCTGGGTCTCTGGGGGAACTGAGCCATCTCCACACTCACTCTGATTGCCCACCCACCCCCTTTCTTCTTTGTAACTAAGAGAATTGACAGACGGCCAAAGTGTCACATGTGGAATTTCATCCAGATTCATTTCTGATTTGTTGGCTCTTTTAAACTGTGAATTCTGCTGAAGAATTGGCCCTATGGTCAGGGGGTGGTTTTTCTCTGCCCCCAACCCTGTGCCTTGTAGAGTCCCCTCAGCAAAGTCTACTCAACTGATTTGTTTCTTTTCCAGCCCCTGTGTATTAGTGAGGATTTTTCAGAGAAACAGAACCACAAAGACTTGGGGGGGGGAGAGAAGGAGAGAGAGACTTACTTTAAGGAATTAGCTCATGTGATTATGGAGACTGGAAGTCCAAATAGGCTGGCAGTATAGACCACCAGGCTGGAGACCCAGGGAAGAGCTGATGTTAATAGTTCAAGTCCAAAGGCCCACTACTGGCAGAATTCCCTGTGGCTCAGAGGTCAGTCTTTTTTCTGTTTGGGTCTTCACCTGCTTAGATGGGGCCCACCCACATCAAAGCAATCTGCTTTAAGTCCACTGACTTAAATGTTAATCTCATCCAAAAGCTCCTTCAAAGAAATATCCAGAATGATGTTTGTCCAAATATCTTGACACTGTGGCCCAGACAAGATGACCTGTAAAGTTAACCATCACTCCCTGTTTAGAGGACTCCTGTATTTCACCTGTTTCTTCTCTGTACCAGGCAAGATGATAACGAAGGAGGCCCAGGTCTCCCTCCCTGTCTCCCTGTTCTTCCTCCTACTCTACTCCTCCTCCCCTCCTCCTCTTCCTCCTTCTCCTCCTTTTTCTTCTTCTTTCTCTTGTGATCTCTCTGTCTCTGTCTCTCTCTCTCTCTTCTGTTTTCTTTCCTCATGGTTACACTGCCTTAGGGACAGCATAGTTTGAATTCCCAAATTTGCATGAAGGATAGTTTCCACACGAGCACCCATGTTTTCATGTTTATGCAACTTTGCCAACTCCTCCTTTTTTGCATGTTTATGACAATATCTAAATAACACTCTCGAATGCCTGCTCTGTGCTAGACACATCACACATCATCCCAGTTCACGCTCACCATTGCTCTGGGGACCCTGGCAGTGGGAAGAGCCTCCCCAGGGCACTGCTGCAAATCCATCAGCCCTTCTGTGATGGTGATGATACAAACAGCAGCTGATATCAGCCCAGCGTTGAGGACAGGCATGGAGAGGATCATCACCTGACAGATGAAGAAACTGAGGGTCAGAGAGGTGATGTGACTTAGCCGGGGTCCCATAGCCAGTCAGTGGGAGCTGGTTTAAAATCAGGGATTTTTTCCCTTTAAAGGCTCTCCTCATTCCATTTCATGCTACTGCACAATTCCCTTTAAAGCAAAGTATTTCCTAATTGCTTCATGAATAAAACAGGAAGGGGGTGCTCATTTAAAAATGAATGGTACTAACCCCACAAGGCAGGAAGTTTCCCTGTGCTGTGGGGAGAGGCTGGGACCCCGTCTGTGGTCCTCACTGAACTTGCCTCCTTTCTCCCCTGGGGCTCCAGCATGACTGCAGCCACTGTAGACAACAGAGTGGCATTCTTTTCTAACCACATAAAGGATGACTTAGATTCAGCTTAAGATCTTCTAAACGGGCTTTGTTCTTGAATAATATTGACTGTGCTCCTAGTAAGTGGCAAGTGCTATCCTAGGCACTGGGATTTTAGCAGCAAACAAAACAGATAGGGCTTCCCTGGTGGCGCAGTGGTTGAGAGTCCGCCTGCCGATGCAGGGGACGGGGGTTCGTGCCCCGGTCCGGGAAGATCCCACATGCCGCGGAGCGGCTGGGCCCGTGAGCCATGGCCGCTGAGCCTGCGCGTCCGGAGCCTGTGCTCCGCAACGGAAGGACCCGCAACAGTGAGAGGCCTGCGTACCACAAAAAAAAAAAAAAAAAAAAACAGATAAAGCCCATGCTCTCAGGAGCTGATATTCTGGTGGGGAAAGCAGGCAATTAGCAAAATAAATACATAAACCAAATAGTATTTTATGTGGATTATGATCTCATTTTTATAGTCATGTCCATCCATCCATCTGGCCGTCACTCCATCTGTCTGTCTATCCATCCATCCACCCACCATCCATCCATCCATCTATCCATCTGTCCATCTGGCCACTCGTCCATCTAGCCACCTAACCACCCATCCATCCATCCACCCACTATCCATCATCCATCTATCCATTCACCCATCTGTCCATCTGTGTACCCGTCCATCCATCCCTCCATTCATCTACTTATGTATATGCCTAAAAATATTCCTGGAACGTGGTTTGCCTAATGGTACTGATAACTATTTCTGGATAGTGGCATTTGGAATAATTACTTTAACATTTTTATGCTTTTCTACATTGTTTGATTCCTTTAAATTAGCAGTATTTCTTAAAGATCAAGGCAAGGATGAAATATGCCAAGATACACCCAAACAACGGAAATCCGTGCCAGGTCCAGTGGTGGTGAAGCAGAACAGGAGAGAGGGACAGGCAGGGCCTGCTGTTAAGCCTGGTCTTTCTGCCACCGTCTTCTGCATGAACAGCCGGTCCCCACATTGCTTTGGGATTCATTTCAGTCTCTAGAAGTGACCCACACAGATGCTTTTTGTGTCACCACCTTCAGGAAGACTCGACCCAGTTAATTGACCTTTGTTAAGGATTATTTTATTGATCAGAAAGCTTCAGAGCTGGGAGAGCCATGGCAGTGGGCCGGCGGGTCCCCATATTCACCAGTGGGGATCCCAGTGATGAAGGGTTACTCCTCTGCCTCAGGAAGAAGTGAGTCTACAGGGTGTTGATGGAGTTTATCCTTCATTTATTCGACCCACGTCTGTTGATGTTTTTCTCTGTGCTGGGAACCGGGTTAAATGCTGGAGGTAGAGACGCGTATGATGCTGACCCCATCCTAAAACCTCCCTGCAGAGACACATGAGAAATTGGACAACTGAATTTTATACAAGAATTGGACAGAAGAGAGTTGATTAACACCAGAGAAAAGCAGAGGAGAGGCATCTGTCCCAGAATGTGCGGTCAGGAAAGGCTTCCAGGAGCCCCACACTGGTGTAGAAACCAAAAGAATGAGTTGAGGAGAGCCAGACAGAGAGCACGTTGGGGAAGAGTGTACTACAGGCAGAAGGAAGCACACGGGTCGCAAGGAAAGAGCTTGGTATTTATAATAACACTTTTCCCCATCACGGCACTGAAAGCATTGGTCAAAGTAGTAAGCAGCCCCATGTTTCCAAATCCAGTGGTCAAGTCCATGTCTTTGTCCTTCTTGACCTCTCTGTGGCACTTGATCCACAGCCCTTTTCTTGAATATGTTCCCTCCTTGGCTTCCAAACCCTGGACACCTGGTTCTCTCCCAGCCCTCTGGCTACCTGTGGTCAAGCCCCTGTGTTGGATGCATCGTGGCCTTTGGACGTTGCGAGCCTGAGGACTCGGTCGTTGGACCTCATTCCCTCTCATCTACATTCAGTCCCTTGCTGATGTCATCACCACACTGATTACCATCTAATCTTAGCTCCAGACCCCTGCCCTGAACTTGAGACTTGACATTGCCATTAGTGACTTAACCTGTCCAAACAGAACTCCGAGTGACTGACCTGTCCCAGGCTTGCTCCACTCATCTGAGTAAATGACACCAGTTACCCAGCAGCCCAAGTGAAAGATGGTGGAGTCATCCTTTATTCTTGTCTTTCAACGAACCTTGTTGGCTCTACCATCAAAGAGTCTCCCGCGTCCCACCACTTCTCACCACCTCCCCTCCACCACTCTGGCTCACACAGCTACCATCTCTTGCCTGAGATGCTGCCCCTCTGCTACCTCACTTGTTGCAGATGGTTCATGGCCCCTGTGTCATCCAAAGTCATCTTTAAAAAATGAGAATCAGCTCATGCCATTCCCACTGCTTAAATTCCTGCAGTGACTCCCCAGCTCACCATGAAGACAAGTCAAAATTCTCCCTACGATGAAAAGGTCCGTATGAGCTGATCCCCCGCCACTTGTCCCAACTTAACTGTTGTCACTCTCCTTCTCACACGGTCCATGCCAGCCACACTGGCCTCCTTCGCTTTCCATGAAACGTGCCAAGGGATATCCCCACCTCAGGGTCTTTGCCCTTGCCTTCCCTCTGCCTGGAAAGCTCTTCCCTTCCATGTGCCCGTGGTTCACTTCCTCACTTCATTCAGGTCCCTGCTCAGACGTCACCTCCTCGGAGAAGCCTTCCCTGACTACCTGTCTCAAATATCAGCCACCCCTGCCCCTCACGCTCTGTCTCTTTATCCTGCCTTGTTCTGCATCCTGGCACCTACACTGCCTGATACGGTGTTTCTTTGTAGGCTTACCATCTGTCTCTTTAACTGACTGTGAGCCTCGTGATGGCAGAGACTTTGTCTGTGTTACCTACTGCTCTGCCTCCAGTGCCTGGAACAGGGTCTGGCGCCCAGTAGGACTCCATCGTGATGTTGGTTGAATGAATAAGTGTACTAATAATCTGGACAATGGCCCACCAACCATGTCTAAGTCCTAATTCCCAGAACCTGTGAATATGACCTTCTATGGCAAAGGGGATTTTGCAGATGTGATTAAGGATTTTAAGATAGGGGTGTTATCCTCGATTATCCCAGTGGGCCCTGAATGTAATCACAAGTGTCCTTACAAGAGGAAAGCAGGAGTCACAGCTTGAAGAGAAGGCCATGTGAGAATGACAGAAGCAGGGATTGGAGGATGAACTTTGAAGGGGGAGGAAGGGGCCATACGCCAAAGAATGCAGGCAGCAGCTGACGCTAGGGAAGACCAGGGAAGGGATTCTCCCCGGGAGCCTCCAGAAGGAGCCAGCCTGGGTGACCTTGGCTTTAGCCCAGTGACACTGATTTCAGACTTCTGGCCTCCAGAACCGTAAGAGAATAAATGTGTGTTGTTTTAAGCCCAAGTTTGGGGTGATCTGTTACAGCTGCAATAGGAAACTCATACAAATACTGTAACAACAGCAACGACCAGCACTCACTGAATGACCTTGATTTGTCAAGCATGGCACTTAGATGTCTTGTAAAGTCAGAACTCTTTTGAGGTGAAGGTAACAGAAATTCATTTCAAACTAGTTTGAGTGTAAACGAAATGTATTAATACCCTGACTGTCCCCTCCAAGAGCAGAGCTGAGCTCTGGGGGCTCAACTGGCAAAGGACTCTTTGTGGTTCTCTCTCCTTCTCTGTCTCTCTCCCCTGTTTCTTTGTGTCCACTAATAAGCTTATTCCACACAGGAAGGGACATGAAAGCTGACAGCCCTGAGCTGATGGCCTTTCAGCATCCAGCTCTCCTGGTTTTGCTGTATAAAGTGCTTTTTTTCTCCTGGGTTTGCTGTGTAAAATCCCAGGGAAGGTCTCTGGTTGGCCAGGTGGCCAGGCACGCCCACGCTGTTGCTAGGAAAGGGAGTTTGCCTTCTTAACACAGACCAGTTTTACACATCACAGCTCATTTTGTCCTCACAAAGCCTTTTGACATAGGTATTATTGTTAACTCATTTTACAATATGAGGGAGCTGGGGCCTGAAGAGAAATAAAGACACTTCCCAAGGACACACAGTTCTGTGCAGTGGGGCTGGGAGCCAACACAGGTTTGGGGGAGTGCAGAGCCTGCCTGTACTCTCTCTTTCTCCTTTTCAAACCTTTTTCTGAAATACTTTTAGGTTCACAAGACGTTGCAAAGCTAGTATGGAGAGTTCCAGTGCCCTGACCCCTGTTTCACTGTTTCCCCCCATGGTTGCATCTTACAGGGCCCTAGGACAATATCAAAACCAGAAAGTTGACATGCATATAAAATGCATGTATAGTTCTGTGTCATTTTACCACATGTAGTTTAGCATGACACCGCATTTAAGATGTCGAACTGTTTGGTCACCACGAAGACCTGTTTGTGCTACGCTTTCATAGTTATATCCACTTCCCCTCCACACCCCCAACCCCGGCCGCTAAGCTCTGTTCCCCATCTCTAAATTGTGTCACCTCTGGAATGTTATTCACGTGGAAGTACAGCGGGGCCTGGCTCTTTTTACGCAGCGAAACGCCCTAGGGATCCATCCAGTTCTTCCCTTTCCCTGCAGACTGGTATTCCGTGGCATGGCCGTAGCACAGTTTCTTTAACCATCCACGGATTTGGGCACATTTCAGTCGTTTCCAGTCTGTGCTGTTCCCTCTGAGCCCTATCGCCTCATCGAACATGAGTAGAAGGAGAAATGACTCATGGGCCCAGGCTGCAGCTGTGAAGAGTGAGTGGAGAGTCGTTGGAAGGGATGGATGAAGGCCTGGGGAATGTCGTGGCAAGCCAAGGCTGCTGACCAAATAGATTTTTCTTGACAGCTCTGTGACTTTGGGAACACGGTTTCAAGACTGAGGTACTAAAATACTTATCTCCCTGGGACAAAAAGTCCTGAGACTGTGATCCATTAAAACGTGCTGTTCGTCAAGGTTAGAGCCGTGAGGCTCTGAGTCCCTGTGTTCACTCCTCCAGGAGCTGAGACTGGCGTCCTACCTGTCGAAGCTGGCGATGCTGCCAGGGAGCACGCTGCGTTGGCTCCTGAGCGTGGCTGCGCCTGCAGCCTTGCAGCCCGAGCTGCTCTCCGTGCTGGATCCCGCGGGCCAGAGGCATCAGGACCACACGGCGGAGAGTGACGGCAGCGGGGTGCAGGCTGACCTGGGCAGGAGGGGGTGAGTACAGGGTGGGAAGACGAGGTCCCTGTAGAGAGAACGGATGGGAGAGGGGAGCGGGACCATGGGGCACAAGCACACCCGCCTTCCCAGGGGAATTTCTTTGCTCAAGAAACAGACAGCATCCCGGAGAGTCGCTATGCATCCTCTGTGTAAGTCATGGCAGACCCAAGTATTTTGTCCACAGCTTCTCTTTTCATCACCAATTCATTTCCCCAGTAGGATCTTAAGAGAATAAGTTGCCTTGGGCTGTAAATATGCCATATATGCATATTTACAGCCCAAGGAATAAATAATAAAGGAAATAAATAAATACAATAAATACATAAAGAAAAAGAAGAAAAATATATCCATGGTTCTATCAGCTGGAGAAAATGGCTGTTAGCGTTTTGCTACCCTTCTTCCTCCAGAACATGTTTCCTCTGCTGGGTTTTATGAGTGTGTGCATTGTGTGTGTGTGTGTGTGTGTGTGTATAGGAATCCCAGTATATACAACCTTGTGTCGTGCTTTTCAGAACCTTATATCAGAGGCAAGTTTGCTTATTACCTTTTGACTCTTGTCCACGTGCAGACGGCTTTCTAATCATCACACTATTTTGACGCTATTTCTGCTGTTTTTATTAACAAATTAAAATTCATACTTTTCCCAGTTATTGAAACATCTCCATAGATACTATTTTTAACAGCTGCCTGTTGTTCCACTGAGGTGTGTAGCATAGTGTATGTAACTGTTATCCTCTTACTGGACATTTAGTTTGCGTTCATTTCTCCTCAATTATGGGTAATGTTGCAGAGCTACTTTTTTAGGGTCAAGTTTCAGGTGTGCGTTTGATCAGTTAAGGGTCTTTATAAGTCAAGACATGAAGCGTGGCTGTGGATAAGGTGGGTTTGGGGCAGCCAGTGGTGCCACTTGAGAGCAGAATTTGCTGGGGGTGAGGCTACAGGGAAAGCCGCGAGCAGACCTGAAAGTGTTGAAGGCCAGGCAGTGAAGCCAAGGTCCTCAACCAGGACCCACAGGAGGCTGGGGATGGGTGTCTCGGAGCCCATGAGTCTTCCAAAATGGCATGATTGTGTGGAAAGGTGTGTATATACATTATTTTTCCTGACGCGTAAAGGGGGTCCCTGACTCAGCTGAGGGCTAAGAGTTGGGTTAGGGTGAAAGGAAGGATAGGAGCCTGGGAACAACAGCTGTTGAGCAGGGGTGGGAGTCCACAGGGGCTGGGACGAGCCTTCCTAGAGTTGGTGGGGCCCACCACGAGGGGCTGGATGTGAGTGTGGTCACAGGAGCTGGGGTGTGGGTGGGGTCAGGGCTGGTGTGGGCGTGGTCAGAGAGCTGGGTGCGGTCAGAGAGTTGCATGTCTCAGCCTGGTTTCTCTCAGTGCCCAGTCAGGCAAGAGCATGAAGGTGGCAGATGTCAATGGTGACGCTGGAGCAGGAATGTGCAGGGTCACAGCGATGTCACCTCTGCCTGAGGGCTGCCCACGAGGACCTTATTTACGGGCTCCCCTTCGGCCAGTTTAGTTTGGGAGGCTGGTAAGCCGGCATGGGCAGGTGGATGTGGGACAAAGCAGGAGCGCCCAGGTGGCGTGTCGCCAGGAGTATGGAGCATGGGCATGCCCTTGTGTAGCCCGACCTCATGGCCAAGTAGACTGGATGACGTCTGGAGTCAAAAGCCACTCACCATAGCCTCTGAGGGCAGGGCAGTCACTACTCCTGTGTCCCAAGCGACTGGTACCTGGGCACACCGTCAGTTCAGAGTCTTGGGTTTCACGCAGCAGAAACTGACTGATGAATCTAAGCAAGAAAGGGTGTGTGAGGGACCTGTCAGAATCCAGGAAGAGCTGTACGCCGGGTCCCTGTATGGGCAGGACAAGGAGAGCACGGAGACCATCCTCTCTGGGTGCTCCCTTCAGAGGACCAGCCTTCTCTGCCCAAGAGCTAGACTCCTGGGACAGAGAGCCTGGCCCAGCGTGGGCAAGGGTCCTTCACCCCACCAGCTGGGCAGTGTGAACCAGCTGAGGCAGAGTATGAACTTGGCCAGAGGCAGGCATAGACAGGACTCTCTGCTACACTGATCTTTACTGACTTAACTTGAGCCCAAGCCTGCGAACACCTCCCCACCCCCTATTCCTTATGCACTGTCCCTTCTTCGGTCGAGAATCACACCTCTTCACATGGCATGAGGACTCCCTGCCTCACCCACCTTCCAAGCTTCCACTGTGCCTTCTCGACCTTCTTATTCATATATTCATGAACACTCACTGAGATCCTAGCATGTCGACTGTCTTAGGCACTGGTGCACGTGGGAGAGTAAGGGGCAGTCCTGCTGCATGGGGTGTCCGCTCCAGCGGGGGAGGTGGACTGCACAGAAGCCAAGGCAGGAGCCCTTTCCTTCTCGAATGCACCATGCGTTCCCTGCTGGGCTACCAAGATCCAGCTCAAGTGTCCCGCATCTCGGCAGCCTTCCTTTATCTGACTGATGTCACCTGGGACCTGTCTGTGACCCGTGGATTGGGGACCCCTTGCGGCAGAGACCGTGTCTTGACTCGGCCAGAAAAGATCCTTGATCGGTGTTCACAGAGTGAATGAGAGAACAAACGTGAAAACTCTCAGGGTTTCTCATGTCAGCCAAAGGTCAAGCTGAGGGAAGGAGTCCCCATAGTGCTTTTTAAGATTTTGCTTCGCTTGAAGATTCTGTTCTTTTTGAAAATATAAGAACGCTCCCTTCTTGCCCTCAGGAAACATCAGGGCTGGTGGCAAGCCTTTGAGAGCAAACTTCGAGGAGAACTGATAAGCAGAGGATTAGAAAAGATGCTCTGGGCTCACAAGAGGAAGGAGAGGTAATGAGGGCATCTGCTCAGGTGGGCTGAGGAGGGCAGCCAGGCTACCAGTGAGCTGGGAAGGGGAGGCGGAGGGGACCACAAAGGGAGGGTTACTGCAAACATGTCAACATTCCTTCCCTAAAGACCGCAGTCTTTATTCAAAGTGGGCTTAGTTTGAAGTGAAGTAAGCAGAGAAAGACAGATATCATATGATACCACTTATATGTGGAATTTTAAAAGTCATACAGATGAACTTATTTACAAAACAGAAATAGACTCACAGACACAGAATACCAACTTACGGTTACCAAAGGGGATAGCGGGGGCAGGGTGGGGAGGGATAAATTAGGAGTATGGGATTAACAGATACAAACTACTAGATATAAAATAGATAAGCAACAAGGATTTACTGTATAGCACGGGGAACTATATTCAATAGCTTGTAATAACCTAAAATGGAAAAGGTACACTTTGCTGTACACCTGAAACGAACACAATATTGTAAATCAACTATACTTCAATTGAAAAAAAAAATGCAAAGTGCACTTAGTTTATGAGCTGAAGATAGCCACCAGCTATCAGTGGGAGAATGTTGTCACGTATTAGCATTTTAATTGCAGTATTTATTTTAACTAATGGCTCTTTTTAAATGGAATCTCATTAGAAGGAGAATAAGTCCTTATAAATGTTCAGACTTTATAGTTTACAAAGCCCTCTCTCGCCTTGCTGCACTGAGCCTCCCCACTTCCTGGAAAGTGAGGGAAATGCCACGGCCACGCCTCACCAGCTCAGGGAGGTCAGAGGAAGAGACCCCATGCCTGCAGCTGTTAAAAGTGACCGTGGGATTTAGGGTCCCTTTATTTCCCTGAACTTCCGGGCCAGCGCTCTGCTCACTCTCTTGAGTGCCTTCTCTTTCAGCTGTGGTGATTGCACACCTGGAGAGCAGAGGCAAGTTAGAGGCAGTGTGGTTTTAGGGTGCTACAAACAACAGACCAAGGGTCTCGCGTGTTTCCCACTAGAGATTCGGAAAAAGGGTAACGTGAGTCACAAGAGTTACGTTAGACCGTTTAACATACAAGGTTAAAATGGGATAACCAAAGTGTGCTCTGGAAACAGAGGATGTCCAAGAGAAGTGTCCTGCCCCTTCCATAATTTCTCAGGGCTCCGGTGAAGCCGCAGAGACAAGCTTCCCAAATAGTCCATGAATAAAACTCTGGGAGCCATTGATAATGGGCCAGGTATCAGAATTTAGTCGCAGAGAAATTAGAACCGGATACTGAGCCCAAACCAAGAAAATTAAATTCAAGCTGTATACTGTGAAGCGCTCCACGAAGGAACGGAAGTCAGTTGTTCTAGATTAGCGTGGGGATGGGGCTGCTGAATGCCTTCCTGGGCTGCACTGACACAGGTGGGCGAGTACAGATCAGGAGAACCCTGGCGCCACTGTCTCGGATCACTGTACTCGCCTTTTTGCCTTGAGATGCTGTGTACAATGGTGGGAGGAGGAGAGACTGTGAATCAGTCCGAGTTGCCTTTGAGTCCTTGCTCAGATCATGCAGCTGCCAGGGCAGGAGTTCGTGCTGAGGGGGATGGAGCCTCATTGGCCACGCCTGTTCAGGAAGGGCCCACGAGCCTACCAGTGGCCTCCAGTAGGTCGACCCCCAGTGACATGGCCTCGTCCTGCACCACTTGGGCACAGGACCCTGTGGCTTTCAGGTTGTAGAGCGCTCTCAGGAGGAGTCAGAACCATTATCAAGAGACTGGACTGCTTATGGGCAGGATTCCAGCAGTCCTTTTACAGGATATTCTCGAAGTGTGTTGCTCTGTCCTATTTCAAACACATTTTACCTAACTTCTAACTGTTGCTTTATAATCAGGTTTTATCAGCCTGCTTTTAGTGTGAAGCCCACAGGCAGGCGTGTCCTAGGAAATGTCTCACAATTGTTCCGGGGGCAGATGGGAGCTCTGATTTGTAGCACTTAGTTTCCGTGGTGTGAAACACTCCCACCATGGCTGATTCCGTGCTGACAATATGATGACCACAGGCTCACAAAACTCCACAAAAGTGAACAGTCATGAGTTGGTGAGAGCTGTCTGCAGCCACCGCTGCCACAGGCTTCAGCTAATCTCAGGGGCAACCTGGCAACCACAGGGAAAAACCTTTCTTTAAAAGACACTTGATTGGGGCCCTAGGGACAAGAGGGGGTTTTCCTAGAGAACTCTTTCAGGACACGGGAGAGTCAGTTGCCAAAAACGTCGTATCTGATCTTCTGTTCTTTCTTTAGCTTATTAAAGAAGACGTGTCCCCCTCTCAGAGAGAGGGTGATATTCTCTGGAAAAGGCAGTTGGCCACACCTGTCACTGGAGTCCGTTGGTGAACTGGCCCCGGTGCCCATTGTAGGGGCAGAAACCATTGATTTATTAAACACTGGTGAAAAGCTCTTTATCTTCAGAAATCCAAAGGAGCCGGAGATCTCACTGCACCTTCCTCCCAGGAAAAAGAAGAAGAACTTTCTGAATGCCAAAAAGGCCACTTGGGCCTTGGGCATGAACTAGCCCAAAGGAAAGCTCCAGGGAGTCTGAAGACAGAAAGATTTGTTTTCTCTTGCCCACATGAGTGTGTGTATGCGTTTATAATGTACAACTTGCAGGTGTTAATTGCACTTGCAGAGGACAGATACATCCACTCTCCCTCCCTCACCACGACTTTCATGGACTCAGTTTAATCTGGTCCCATGAATTCCCAGATGGCCCATTTCCCTTCAGCATCGCAAAGGACATGAAGAGACGGGGGACCAGCCCGTGAACCCTCGTTGCTTTCAGTCCCACCTTGCTGAAGGTCTAGAGGAGCCCCGGGCCCCTAATTCACATCCCCGCAACACCTGGCTGAAGAGTGGGCTGTATGTTGAAGGCAAGGCTCTCTCTTCTCTCACATTGTGTGTTTGTTACATATGCTATTTTTATCAAGGGAGCTTTTGAAAGAAGAGCATTTTCCCTAAAGCTCTTCTCAAGGGAACTCGTCTTTGCTTTCTGTAGGAACCATTTATTTTTAATCCCTTCTTGGGTTTTGGCCATCGTGACGTTCAATGGAAATTTGCCCTCCATCTTTCCAGGGGCCAGATGCGCCAGCCACTGGGCGATACCATATCCAACTCAAATCAGGAAACTCAGGCTTAAGAAGGTGAGGGGATTTAGGCAAGATGATAAAGCCACTAAGTAACAAAGTCAGGACTCACTGAACTCTTTACGGCCCCAAACCCTTGTCCCTTCTCCTGGACTTGGTAAATGGATACATACCTGCCCTCAGGTGTTTGCCAGCAAACTGACTGCGCACAGGTCCTCGTGTTGCACAAAGTGCTTTCCTGTGCCCTGACCCTCTCCATCCTCACAGTGTGGTTGGATCATTATATGAGCTTTTCTGAGAACCAGGCAAAGAGTACAATTATAATGGGTCTTTCCTAAGCGTGGGAAATGATTAGGCAGGGAATCCTGTCACCAACGAGAAGAAAAGGGATTCTGATGAAGCATCTCTTACATGAGAGTTGCTTCTAGACCCTTACAGCTACTTGAACCCACTTTTTTTTTTTATATATACAGCAGGTTCTTATTAGTTATCTATTTTATACATATTAGTGTACATACGTCAATCCCAATCTCCCAATTCATCACACCGCCACCACCGCCGCCACTTTCCCCCTTGGTGTCCATACGTTTGTTCTCTACATCTGTGTCTCAATTTCTGCCCTGCAAACCAATTCATCTGTACCATGTTTCTAGGTTCCACATATATGTGTTAATATACGATATTTGTTTTTCTCATTCTGACTTACTTCACTCTGTATGACAGTCTCTAGATCCATCCACGTCTCTACAAATGACCCAACTTCGTTCCTTTTTATTGAACCCACTTCTTAATCCTTGACAATACCCAGCAGATGAGGATCACTACTCCCGTTTTACAGCCAAGGAAACTGAGACTCAGAAAGTTTAAGTAACTCGCCTGTGATCACACCATGTGTAAGGGAGGAATCCTCACTTTGAACCCAAGTCTCCTAGCTTTCAAACCCTTACCCGCCATGAGACATCGCATTGCCTTTGGCAACCTGAAGGTCAAGTCTTATTTGCAGTTTCCCATCAGCATGCGTGCAGCATGGTGATCAGGGATCTTTGCCTGGAGTTGCACTTCTTCCGGGGGCAGCTGTGTACCATCATAGTGGCTGCCAGTTGGCCATATCTCTGCATTAGCAGATATGCACAAGTAAGCAGTTAAAATGCAGGAGAGAAGAGTGGGTGGGGTCAGTTTTCCCATCAGAAGCGCAAGTGAGAAGAGAGAGGAGAGAAAGAACAGTGATTTTCACACAGGATAGTGGAGTGGAAAATGCATGGTCTTTGATGTAAGCTTACTTAAGTTCAGATCCTGCTCTGCTGCTCGTGAGCTGTGTGTCCTGTGGAACTCACCTGACCTTTCAGAGCCTCATATTCTTCATCAACAAAAGGATGATGAGAATCCCTTCTTATGAGGATTAGATGAAACTGGATCAGTAGAGTGTTTGGTGGTGGTGTGCACCTGCCACATCTATGTCCTTCTGTATTCCTTGAAGGTGACCCATCTGCCTTTCTAATAATTTCCTGATTCTAGGACTCTGCTAGAATTATGCATGGTTGAAAATAGATTGCACATAAGGAGTCGAAAAAATAGGTCAAAATTATGGGCTGAAGGCTGATTGAATATATTATTAGCAACAACAGGAGGTGCTCATACTATTCAAAATACAGCATTTGAACCTAATAATAACTCGTTATGTTAATAGACAAAGACTAGCTATTGATTTAATTTCTCTAAACTCACTGCATGAGAAACACGAAGATGTGATAGGGAAATCTTGTGCTCCTGGAATCTGGTAGCTCAGGTTTAAATCCTGGCTCTACAACTTTTAAGCAAGTCACTTTACCACTCTGAACCTTGGTCTCCTCATCTGTGAAACAGGGGTCCTGATACCTACCTTAGGGTAGGGATGTCACAAAGAGTGAAGATATTGGATATTATATAAAATGTTGGTGTTCAATAAAATGTTGATATGCAATAAATGTAGCTTATTTATTATGTTTTTACATACAACATTGAGCTTTGCGGTTCCTTTCATTCCTGTTTTCACCCAACATGAAGACAGTGACCCTTCTAGAAGGGCTGTACCTGCCACAATACATGGAAGCCTATTCATAAGAGAGAAGCTCCAGGGAACTTGAATTGAGAGGACTTGATTTCAAGATGGGGCTCCATTACTTACAAGTTGGGAGAATTTGAGAAAATTGCTAACCTCTCTGAGGCTCAGTGTCCCATGGATCATGTCTTCTAAGAGTTCAGTCTAGTTAAGTTGACAGACACAAAAATCAATCATCATTAAGCGCAAGGGATAAAAAAGAGTTCTGAAAACCATGCTGTGGGAGTTTGGGAGTGAGATGCAGCCTGACTGGGGATATTTGAGAACAGCTTTAAGCTTTTGACCCCAAATCTTTATCTCCAGACTGGACTTCCTCTTGGGCTCCAGACACATTTGTCACAGATGCCTGTCCAGCCCTGAACCCATTGGCTTCCTATAAAACCTGTTCCACTATGGGATGTCCCATCTCTGAGTAGATGGTACCAAGTCAGAAACCTACAGGTCATCCTAGACATCTTCCTGTTTTCAACCCCCAAATATGATGACTACGTCTTGCTGATTGGACTACTGCATTAACCTTCACATTGATGCCCTCTTCCTCCCCTCCACTCCTTCCCAGGCCATGTCTCTCCTGGATGGTGCCAGCAGCGTCCATTCTCTCCAGGTTGGCTCAAGCCAATTTGGTCTATGGTAGCCATATCTGAGTCACTCCCTTGCTGAAAGACCTCCAAAAACTTTTCAATGCCTACAAGACCTCCATGAATTGTCCGCTAATAACCTTCCTACCCGCGTCTCTAGGGGAAGCCTCTACTTTCCACGGAGCCATTGACTGACAATGAGACACAAAGAAGAAGGTGGATCTGGGTTTGCCTCCTGGATCTGCCATTTACTCTGTGGCCCTAGAGAAGCTACCTAATTTCTGTGAACCTCTGTTTCCCTCACCTGTTTTATAGGATTAATGAAGTGATACTGTAATGTGTCTGCTACAGGGAACACACAATAAATGCTAGCTATTATTGTTGTCTTAGAAAGTTTGTAAACAGAGGAGTGACATGATACGATTTGTTTTAGAAAGGAACTCTAAAGGTCTTATGGAGGATGGTCCAGGAGTAGAAGCAGTTACTTGGGCTTTTTATTGGCTTCTGTCTTCCAATACACAGCTACAGGTAGGGAGTGCGGAGATAATTCTGTTTCTGCTTTGTATGCATCCTTGCTTGTCTGGCCTTTGTTTGCCAAGATTACCAGCAACCACTCCACCACCACCAACAACACTAACGCCATTACTCGTGAGTTTGCTTTCTCTGGATCAGGCACATCACTTGAAGATTTATCTAAATTTTTCCTAATCCTCAAGAAGACCAGGTAGAGGAGATGTTACTAATCTTATTTGACAGATAACCTGCTATGAAATGACCTTACTCATCATTAATGTATATGGGAATGACCATTTCTCACCCACCTGAGAGTACTTCCTCCCTGGTTTTACTGCACCCCTACTTCATTTGTGTGGTAACATGTTCAGGGGAAGGGGATTCCTCCGCCAGCCCCAGGAGATGAACCATCACTGACTCCCAGAGTTTCCTTACAGGCTGTGGGGGTGATGCTAAAGATCTCTGCCTTTTATTTAACGGGGGTGTTTAGACCATTATATTTAATGTATTTGTTGATATTTGTTGTGTTTGCATTTTAATCTACCAAATTGCTATTTCGTTTTCCATTCTTTGATATGTTATTTGTTCTCTTTTCCCTCCATTCCTGCCTTTTTGGTATTGAGTATCTTTTATGATTCAGTTTTATTTTCTCTGTTGGATTATTATCATACTTCTTTTTTTAACTTTATTTATTTATTTTTGGCTGCTTGGGTCTTCACTGCTGCATGTGCGCTTTCTCTAGTTGCTGTGAGTGGGGGCTACTCTTCGTTGCGGTGCGTGGGCTTCTCATTGCAGTGGCTTCTCTTGTTGCAGAGTGGGGGCTCTAGGCACATGGGCTTCAGTAGTTGTGGCGCATGGGCTTAGTTGCTCTGCGGCATGTGGAATCTTCCCAGACCAGGGCTTGAACCCGTGTTCCCTGCATTAGCAGGTGGATTCTTAACCACTGCACCACCAGGGAAATCCTATCATATCTTTTTTTTAGAGGCTGTCCTAGGTTTTACAATATACATTTTTTACTTATATTCCATCTTCAAATAGCATTATGTACCCTCACATATAGTGTAAGAATCTTGCGACAATACACTTCCATTTCCCTGCTCTTTCCTCTCTGCTATTGTTAACCACATTTTTGCTTCTCTCTGTGTTAAACTCCCATGTACGTTGATGATATTCTACTTTTTATATGCAGTTATCTTTTAAAGACTTAAAATTAGAAGAATATGTTTTTACAAATATTTGCACCTTCTGGTGCTCATTTTTCTTTTATGTAGATCCATATTTCCATCTTGTATCACTTACCTTCTTCATAAAAAATGTCCCATAATATTTCTTCTAGTGCAAGTTTTCTGGTGATGAGTTTTCTCACACTTTGTGTCAAAAGTCTCTCTATTGCCTTCATTTTCAAAAGCTGTTTTTACTGAGTGTAGAGTTCTAGGTTTCCAGTGTTTAAATTTTTTTCTTTCACTACTTTAAAGATGTCACTCTTATTAGATTTGATTTGCTAATGTTTTGCTGAGGATTTTTGCATCTGCATTTATGAAAGATATTGGTTTGTTGTTTTCCTTTCTTATAATATCTTTATCTGATATTAAGGTAGTGCTGGTCCCATAGAATGATTTAGGAAGTGTTTCCTCTGCTTCTACTATCTGGGAGAGATTGTAGAGAATTGGTATCACTTCTTCCTTGAATAATAATAATTATCATATGGAATAGTTTCACCAGTGAATCCATCTGGGCCTAGTGCTTTCTGTTTTGGAAGGGTATTAATTATTGATTCAGTTACCTTAATAGATATAAGCCTATTTAGATTGTCTGTTACTTCTTGTGTGAGTTTTGGTAGCATGTGTCTCTTGAGAAATTGGTCTATTTCATATAAGTTATCAAATGTGCAAGCATAAAGTTTTGGAAAATATTCCTTTGTTTTCCTTTTAATGTCCAAGAGAATAGTTGTGATGACCACTCTTTCATTTCCAATATGTAATGAGCTTATTCTCCTTTTCTCTCCCTTGATTAACATGGCTACACGTATATTGATTTTATTGATCTTTTCCAAGAACTGGTTTTATGTTTTCTTGATTTGTTTCTATTGTCCTATTTTCAGTTTCTTTGACTTCTGATACAACAATTTTAGTATTTCTTTTTTTCTATTTAAGATTAAAGTACAGTCTCTTACAGCCCCCTGTAGTCCCCTGACCACTACTCCTTACCTTTAATTTCTTCTTTTCCAGGAGCAACTAATTTCAACTGTTTAGCTGTTTCTTGTGGCATCAAGATTTATACTCTTAGGAACATAGTGCAACTTCTCAGTGCTGTATCATTTGTAACATATATTGACCTTCTATTACAGCAGATG